GTTGAACCACAGCAAGCCGATCTTTGTGCAGCTTGACCAGCCCCCGCTGCCTGGTCAGGTTGATTAATCTTGATAGTTGAGGGCTGCAACCATAGAAAAAGTTTTCAATAATTGCAAAATAACTATGATTTCTAATGTAAGAGCCTGCAGGCAAGGTGGGGCAGTTCGAATACCTCAGCCCTTGAGTCAGTGTCGGCAAGCCTTTGCTTTATGTCCCTTGCTATTGAAAAGAAAACTTGCTCCACATTTAGATTTGTCTTTGCACTCTGCATCGAACAGTTTCTTTCAGTTTATATCTCGCCAATTCAAACAACAACCACAATCAGCAAGCATTACTTACAGTTTCAAAAAATTTGATTCCATACTCATCAGCAAGTGCTTGTCCCTTGGAGGTAGGCACAGCCTTCAAAAAGAGAAAATATGTAGAGTACAGGAATTAGAGGTTTTGTATCATTAAATTTAATTAACTAGTTGACCCCCTCCTTACTCTACTTCAGAAATCAAAAGATTTGTATTGGAATGAGTAGTGAGCAAAAGTTATCTTTGCTATCTCAGCAAAAATGCACAGATCCACCAGCATACTTAGCAGAGCAAATTGGATAACATGCCAAACTTCTGACGACATAATGCAAAACAATCTAAATGATGATAGGATCATAGATGTCATATACTGAAAATCTTATGTCGAGCAGCATACCCTCTTGCTTTCATCCATGTCTGCCTTGTTCCCCACCAGTATCTTGTTAACGTTATCTGATGCATGCTGTTCAATGTTGCGAATCCAATTCCTAATATCTGAAAAGGAGAGAAGCCTTTCTGTAAGAGATTTAACAGAGTAATGAAGTGCTGTGACAACAAAAAGAAACAAAGCAAAACCTTAATATTTAACAGATTACTAAAAGGAAACCAACAAAATTTTGCAACACTAAGACAAAGAAGTTAAAAATGTAAAGTTAAACAAAAAAAAATTCTAAAATCAGCTATTAAGTGAAAGCAAAAGAACAAGGGATTTACTGTTGAAGGATGATTCGTCAGTGACATCATAGACCAGCAAGATGCCCATGGCTCCCCGATAGTAAGCTTTTAAAAAAGATACAAGCAAAAAATGATTAAGGGAAACCATGTTCAGGAATGCAAAGAATATATATCAATTTTAGAGAAACAGCTTAAAGATGGCTTCAAATATCAAGACAATAAGAACTTCATTACTCTATTGGAGAATTTAACATTTTGAAGACCTGAGAGATACACCCATACCAAAAACCATCATACCACACAATGGTCAAAAACCTCCTACAAAGTTACACAGAATCAGACAAAAATGTATTGGATTCCGGGCTGTAACCTTTTGCATCACTCCTTGAAGATGCCTA